CTGGGGAATCCTGGGAGTTGAAGTCCACACGTCTTAAAGTTGCCAAGGTTGAGAAACACTGGGTTAAGGTAACAAGCTATTATTCCCTATATAGGAAGTGTTACGGTTTTGCCGAAGACATATTTTGCCTAAGTTTCAGTCATGGACAGGCTTCATGGCAGACCTTGGCCAAGCTGAAATGGGTCCTCTCATTTCAACTCCAGGCTCTCCTAAACAAAATATATGGGAGCTTCCTAACATATTTTAAGATGAACGTGGCAAATCAAGGGTCCAATTTCTTTCCTGTGCAAGAAATAATTTTGTTATTGAAGGCTCTCCTTTGATATATCATTTCTTAGCAGAAGGAACACACCGAAGAGTGGTAATAAACAATGCTTCTATGGCATGAGAGAGGCAGACAAAAAGCAGGAATCACTAAGCGTGGGCTAGTGAATGGGACAGAGATTTATGGAAGTTCTCAGGAACTGAATTCATGAACGATAAAGCATAATGTGGTTTTTCTGATTCAGTTTAGCATATTGTGTCAAGGGGGTCAATGTGGTTTCTTAGTTATGATCTAATGCTGTTTCACAAGTTTGGTTTAATTAATGAGAATTAGCTGTTTGGGGTTTGGCTCTTCCTGGACTTCTCTTGAAGGGGCATCATGCTAGATCCTAGGACTGAGCCTGCACAGGCATGTCAGGTACCCTGAGTGCTGTGCTTCCTGCACCTCTTCTGTTTCTTGCAGGAAGACACCTTGTGATGAGAGGCCCATGTGCTGGGCAGCTCAGAAATTGTTCTACTTCAAATGAAGGGTGGCAGGGCAATGGGTAGATAAGCATTTAGCCTAGGTTGAGTGGGACACCAAGTATTACAGAATTATTTTGTACAAACTGCAGGGTTTGAGCCAGATTAAGCTCTTCCATTATTACCCACAGATATTTTGGGAATCGTCTTTGAATTCCATTTGCCTCTTTGCTTTGTTTCCTTTAGGTCATCTTCTTCATTGTAAGTTCATAATGGTAAGTTTTCCATTGCAGGGGGAAAAAGCCATGAAACCCAGCATGGATCAAATCAGGGCTCCATTTTAAAGTGGTATAGATATGGAAATAGTAACTCACGATCTGGATCTTGTGGATTCATATAATTAGATTTCCATGAATGTTATAGGTATGTGTGGATGAGAATGGATGAGTGATCCTTGTTTTAATTCCTAAAAAGAACTAGACAAGTCATAAGGAGAAATGAATATGTACAGTTTGTCTTTTGTTTCTTTTTATGCAATAATGCTTCCAATGTTAGTGAATGTCATAAGACAACGCGTTTTATTTGGACTGCATGATGTGCAAAAAAGATGGTGCTATACAAGGTGTAAAAGTTGCAGTCAACAACTCCTCAGATATTTTGGGAATCGTCTTTGAGTTCCATTTGCCTCTTTGCTTTGTTTCCTTTGACTTGAAATCAAGATGATGTCACAAGCTAGTTTTGCGAAGTACTGTACAAGTATACAGTACATGTAAATTAATGCCCAGTTGGGCTTATTCAGATGCACTGGGTGTAAACTATAGAAACTACAGTTCAATGTCTCTCAAAGCCACTAGGCTTCAAGTTCCTAAATCTGCTTTTGGCAAGACTTTGTAAAGGGAAGGTGAATGGCATTTGGAGAAAGGACTTGATGAGGAGGACCCACCGATTCTCCTCCGGAAATGCCACCATCTTCACTTTGCTGTTTCCAGCACAGCCAAGATTACTTTCAATTTCAGTGGTGTGGTGGTTAAAAAATACTAAAAATATCCTTGCTGGGAGAATTGTGGATGGGGGAAAGGTTAAGCACACCTGCATGCCTGGTAGTTCTCTTCTGCAGTTGTCTCTCAAATGCACTGTCAATATTAGTTATTACAGAAGTATAGGGATGGCTATGCCTTCCTTGTAAAAATATAATTCGGCTCCCAGGCCATCTGAGAACACCTCTGAAAGCAAGAGAAGCTTAATCTCTTATCTAAGATTAATTAATCCAAGATGTCAAATCCTTGTGCAGAAAACATGCATTCAACAAATGAAGTTTGGCCTCTCTTTTTACTGTTTTGATCCATGCTCATTTAGTCCCCCTTCTTCCTTTCTTGGTCATTTCACTATTGCTGTTGCTACCATCTCCCTCCCTTCTCTTCTTAAGGCCATCTCAGGGGATAAAATAACCCAGTGCATTCTGCTGTCAGATTAATCCAAACTCAGCAGGGATTTGCTCATGAGAGGCCAAATCACTTTTGCAGCACTTTGCAACACAGCAGAAAGTTGCTCCTGCTGCGATGT